ACGCTGGTAAAAATGAGAAATAAAAAAAACAATTGAGAGTCGTTATTTTGATTTTTTTCAGTAAAATAACATTTTTTTAAATGGAAACCCCTGTATATTATATTTTTTTCTGTTAAAGCATCAAATTTTAAACAAAAAAGTTCATAATGACTTTTCCGCTAAAGTCAAAAATAAAGTCAAAATAACGATAAATATTTTTAATTATTTGCAGTATTATAATATTAAGACGGCTATGAAAACAACATGGCGTTCGCGATTTGACAGCATTAAGATAAGCGACAAATTGTTAAACTGGACATACTCGCAACTAGAAGGCTTTGGAAAACAATGATAAAATCAAATAATGTCAAACATTAGTGTAAAGATAACCCAGATAGATGGTAGGACCATACTTAAGACAGTTCGAGCAGTTGAAAAACGTGCCCAAAAATGTATTGAAGAACAAGGTGGTGTTTTCGAGAATCTTCTTTAAAAAAAATTGTTATTGTATTTTGTAAGATTATAAGTTGATGTTGAAAATAAAGTTTGTCGATACAATTTAATTGTTTCAGATTGGAGGCCATAACTTCAACAATTTGTAACCTAGGAGAAAAGTTATTGTAAGCTTTTTTGTTTAAAATTTGATGCTTTAACAGAAAAAAATATAATATACAGGGGTTTCCATTTAAAAAAATGTTATTTTACTGAAAAAAATCAAAATAACGACTCTCAATTGTTTTTTTTTATTTCTCGTTTTTACCAGCGTTAAAAATGCTACTAGTTTGCTAATTCAAACAACTTTGTATTTTCACTAATAACAAAGTTACTAATGGTGGACACTTAATTTGGATAACCCTGTATTATCTTTTATTTGTATTACAAAAATTATCTAGAAATATATCAAGACTACTCGAATTTTCATGTACTTGATGGACAGACGTAAAAACTACTTGAGTTGATATCAGATTGCTAATATGTAATAATACCACAGCCGACGTCAACTACGAGCCGTGAACAAAGAAATCTGGCAACGTAGGTGGTAGTGTTACTCCCGCCGCTGCTTGCTACATCGACGCAACTCGTGCTCAAAACGCTGAGAAAACATAACCTTTTCAATTTGTGATTTGGGAATCCCAGAGGCTGTAATTAAGAGATAAGCTTGTTTTCTAAGCTTCAAAGTGTGTGTATGTGTTCAAAGTGATCGGTGACTATAATATATGAGAAATAGACTCCAGTTGTAGTGCTTCTGTGCTTTAAAAATAAACAAAGAAGTGTGACTGTGGCTGTTCGCGCCTCAGGACGCTAAGGATTTCAACTATTGAAAACATGCAAATTCAGGTTGTATTTTTCTTTTTTCATTTATCAAGTATTTGACGCAGACAATATGCCTCGTTGTTGCTGTGTTCCTTTATGCAATGCAAACTATAATTCTGCTTTGAAAACAGAAAGCTATGTTTCAACTTTTCGCTTCCCAAGTACCGAAAGTCTGAAAAACAAATGGCTTATGGCAATTCCCAGAAAAAATTGGACACCTTAAAAATATTCAGCTGTGTGCAGTCGTCATTTTAGAGAATTGGATATCATCAGGACAGAAAATATAGTTTTGGCGGATGGAACAGTCCAAAATACCTTTGAAATATCCAAAATTGAAAGAAAATGCTGTTCCCTCCATTTTCCCAAACTTGCCATCATATCTTTCAAAAACTGAAGCACCCAAAAGAACTGACCCAATGCAAAGAAAACAAAAATTAATTGAGAAACATGAAAAAGCTATCCAGAATTTCGATGATATGGATAAGATCAAAGACTTTCAAGAATTACATTCTTCATTTTCAAAAATTAAAGCCTCACAGAAATGGAATAATAAATTATCTGATGGAAAGCTATATTTTTATAAATTGGATTTTGAAAATGATATCTTAACTTTGAATACACAGATTATAGTTGATGGTCAGATGGAAGTTCAGGTTGTTCATAAAGGATGTAAGCTTTATTTTAGTGACTTGAAGTGGGTTTTGCCATATGATCTCAAAATTACCAGATGGTCCCAATTAGAAAACCTGCTAAAAAGGTATTTTTTCTATTTTTCTGAGAACCAACACAAAAACTCTGTTGAAGTTTGCATCATGGATTGGAACAACTTGACACAGCGATTTCCATAATTAATAATGACTTAGTTATGTTTCCATACACAAAAAATCTAGAGTTTATTGCTGATCAGCTGAGACAAATTCAAAACAGGAAAAACAGATATGCATCACTTTCAATAATAATGGCTTTTACGTTTTATAACCACTCATCATCAACATATAATTTAATTAAAAGATTTTTTATTTTGCCAAGTAAGCGATACTTACAACATATCTCCTCAAGTATGGATATATCTCCAAAAAATAATAGGAATAATGAACACTACCTTTCGAATATAGCAATTAAATTAGCTCCAAGAGAAAAAATTGTAATTTTGATGATCGATGAAATTTATATAACATCTAGGCTGGACTATCGCTCACAAAACATTGTTGGGTATGCCTCAAATAAAAATGACATGGCTAAAACTGTTTTAGCCTTCATGCTATCTTCAGCATTTGGAAACATAACAGAAATTATCAAATTACTACCAGTTTCAAATCTAACAGGTGATGAAATGACACCAAATGTGATAAATTTAGTTCAAAAATGTGGATTTGAAGTTATTTGTGTTGTTACTGATAATCACCGAATTAATAGAGCAATGTTTAGGAAATTAGCAAAGGATTCATCAGAAAATTATTCTATTCCAAATCCACATAATCCTGATAAGAACATATATATTTAACTTATGATGTGCATATTTTCAAGAGTATCAGAAATAATTGGATTAATTTGAAAAACCTAGACAAAACTTTTGTATATCCTAATTTTGACAATAATGATATTATTCAGTATGCTAAATTTGAAAACATTCGTGCTGTATATCAATTGGAAAAAGTAGCTGTAGTTAAGAAAGCATATAAATTAATTATAAAACATTGCATCCAAATTCATTTGAAAGGCAAAATGTAAATTTTGTAGATAATTTATTCCATCACTCAACAATAGCTGCTATGAAAGAATTAAAGTTTAATGATGCTGCACACGTTTTGGAAATAATCAGGAATTGGTGGGATATTGTCAGTAATACAAGTGTAATAAAAGGAGAATTGAAGCGAAACGAATTTTGTAAGCCTATTACCAATAAATATGATTATAGAGAACAATTTTTAAAAAAATTCCTGATATGGTCTAGAGAATAATAATGGACACCTGACACCAGAAACGTATACAGCTCTATATCAAAGCACGCTGACTCTACCTAATATAATTGAATATTCATTTAATCAATTTGACATTGAGTATGTATTGCCTGGAAAATTCATCACTGATAATTTAGAAAAACGATTTGGCAATTATAGACTTTTATGTGGCTGCAATTACAATGTATCATATGATGAAATTTTAAATGCTGAAAATAAAATACGGCTGAAGCATATTTTCAATGAAAAGAAATCGTCATTTTCTTTAGCAGAAATTAAAACAAGGGTCCAAAACTGCTTAGAAACTCAAGAAAATTTTGATTTCTTGGATACCAAACAAAATCCTGAAGTTTTGGATATATTCAATGAAGTATTTGAGACAAATTACTTAGCCAATTGTGACATAGAGGATAGTACTAAGACTTATATATCTGGATATGCTTCACACGCTATCTCTAAAAACCTAAACTGCGAGATATGCAAATCGTTAATAGTTAAAGAAGAAGGTTCATTAACAACAAATGTTTTATTTTGATCATTTGCAAAGAGGAGGACTGTCAATTCCAACCAGTTATGCACCAATCATATTCTACCATATGTATGCCATTTTTGAATCTATTATTAATGTAGATAGATTGGAAATGTTCTTCTTGAAAAGCAATAATCAAAAATTTATTTTGTGTCAGTTAACCTTGCTCAGCATTCAGTCTGACTTTATATACAGTGGATTTTCTTTAACTTGCATCTGTGGCCGCAATTATGCAGATATTTTATCTAAGCTTTTGTCTATTTTTTCAAACATAATTTTGAATGATTATGTAAAATTGAAAAATAACAGTAAAACTGAAAGTAAATGTATAAAAAACAAACAGGTAACTCCACATTTCCAAGCTGGGTCTGTTGGAACACAGTGTGCTGACACCAAAAAACGTAAACTAAATACTTTTAATTAGGTTAACTGCATTAGCGACTCATATACTTCGAAGTTGAGTCATTTATTTTAACAGTGAGTAGATCTGATCAAAAGAAATGTTTTTTTTCCTTTACCATTTTTCTGGTAAAATTAAAGTAACAAAGTTATAGCCCTTTGGAAGTTTGAGTACCGCCCTGTCTCAATAATAATATTATGTGCTCGTGTTTGGCGACAACGGATGTAATCCGCCGTATCGGTTCATCGCATCGGAAACAAAAAAGCGAAAGAATTTGGAACGATGTTTTTACAATTATTTTATTCATTTGTATACAGTCAGTGTCAGTGAATAGTGGTGTCTGTTGCGTGGCTCAAACGAAATAAAAAATGGCACATGTTTATGCGGATCGGTTTCCCAATCGAGTGCAACCAACCCCTCGTGCCTTTGTTAATGTAGTACAACGGGCTCGTGAATCAGGTGACGGCATGCCGGTGCTCCAAGACCTCACGATCAAATACAGGTCCGCACTGAAATACTTGTCGGGAGGATACTTTATAAAACAAGGTAAAAATTTTTTGAGACGGAGCACACAGCCGCTGGCGGCCGACGTTCACAGGTAGCACTACCATACCGTCCGAGCGCGGTGTTGCCTTTCTTTCATCACGGCTCGTAGTTGACGTCGGCTGTGGTAATACTTGACTTGAGCTTGACCCGACTTTAACTCAAGTAGCTCAAGAATCAAGTCAGGTAGTGAATCCCTACATTCCTCTATTGAAAAAAAAGAAAAATATAAGGTTGGCCCTTCAACGATCTAAACAGCGAAAAACGTACTTACTTTTAACTCAGTCTGGAAGAATGGCAAGTGTTCTCCCTCCTTCGTAACCTTATGCCTAATGAGCTGCGCTCTAACGTGCGCTTCGATGATGTGACTCTTCCTCATATCCCCAACCCTGAACATCAAACACGGAACTCCATCTCTGTGGTTGATGACGGCGTGCCTTGAGAAGAGCAGTGTTTGCGTTCGTTTCTTTGGACGGGAGAGCTTCGCAAACACGACACCAACCTGTAGGAAAAAATGTAAAATAGGTTAATTCAATATTTCAGACAAGAATAGGAGATCGAACGGATCACCGCAAGGACAACCTGCAAGGGAAAAATACCTGATACAAATACGGGTCAAAAGCTCAGCGGGGAACAGGTGTAATCCTGGGCATAGAATACCACCTGGAAGACACGCCTATGCATTTCAGGTAGAGATGTATGCAATCCTGCATTACGTAAGAGATGCGGTGGTATGTGGTAGTAGTAAAATGATCGCCATATATATTCCATAAAGTAAGAAATGCTCTCCATGTATTCCGCAATGAGCAGTGATAACCTCCAGGTCTCTCGTCAGAGAGGAAGTCGTCGCTAGTCTTCTTTTTTCCAGCTCAGCGGAGAGATCGGCTTGTCACGCTGAATTCCTGCACGTAGAGTACTGTTCTCAGCAAAGCTGTGGATTGGGTTGATCGTGCAGGAAAGCAGGTCGTTAATATGTAAGAGGATCGAACGCTTTCGTGATGTCAAGAGCAACGACATAAACCTCACCGTAAGACTGGATGAGTTTACTCCACAATCGCGTGACGTAAGTTAGGAGGCCCCCTGTGGATCGCTGGTGCGGGAAACCATACTGCCTGTCGCTAGTCAAGGTGTGAGGTTCGAGGTAGTCCAGAAGCTCGCGATTTAGGCACCAGAAGCCTTGTTGATGTCGAGCGACAAGAGAACTCGTCTTACGGTCTTATACCTGAATGTTACTTCCCGCATAGGGTTGGAGGGGACGTCCATGGTGTCCAAAGATCTTGGCAAGGACTTCCGCCTTGGCCTTTGAGTCCAATACAATCGTTTCATCCTGACACGTAAGTGGTGGAATTCTGCTGTGTGAGAGTTTCTTTTCAATCTGCTTGGCCAGCGCCTAGAAAGACTGACTCCCATTGCGCTGTGACCCTGGTTTAGGCACTTTCACTGTATGAGGGATGTATTCCTCCATTCCGACGTGGATAATTTTGGTTATCGAAGAACAGGCAGCCGACGCATCCGCGTCAGTGAAACAGACATCTCTCAAAGAAAAGGCAGAAGAGAAGTCTCTGAGCCCCTCCCAGTCCATAATGCCACATTTTGCGGCCTGTGCGAGTTTCTGCTGCCACAGCGGGTTCTGACCGAAACATAACCTCCACAACACCGTAGTCTGAGCTACCCAGGGGGGACAGGACAGCAGTAATGTAAGGGACAGGATGCGTGGTCAGAAAGAGAGCCAGCAAGCTACTGGAAGGACGAGAACTACCTCTGAAGCGGGGTGATCGATGTTCAGGAAGTCGATCTTGGCATGCCCCCAGAACCGTGAATATGCGGGATCTGGTCTCGCTTTGCGTTTTTGACTAATTTCGTCACCTTCCAGAGAGGAACACTTGCGTCAAGCATGAAGAACATTCTTTACTTCATGAACACGGTTTGTGACTCTGCAATATTTTAGAATCTTGTCAAGAATTCAAAAATCTCCCTGCAGATATGCGTCAGAAAATTTCTTACAAAAGGCTGCAATTAAGCAAGCGAACAGGTCTTGTCATCCTGATGACATTCGCAGAGCGACGAATCTTGCTCATGAAGTAAGAAATGCTCTCCATGAATTCCTCAATGAGCAATGGAACGACTTTCTGGCGGGGATGCTTGACTCAAGTACTCCTCTCTGGAAAGTGGCGAAGTCGCTCAGAAACGGAAGGCGAGAACAACTCCCGCACATCCACGGTCCTGGTGCCATAGTCTTCAGGACAAAGGACAAGGTCGAGGTTTTTGCTGATGCTATGGACAACTCTAATCTTGATAATGATCTCGACGAGGAGCAAGAAATTGTAAGATTCGTCAGGAGATATTTTAGGGCCAAAGGCGTCAGTGATCTCGGCGCCGCCATTAGTGATTCTTCCTTGGAAGATTCTTTTTCAGAAGTTTATTTAACTGAAGAATATCTGCGGCATTTCCAGAGATCCCGCATTGCACACCAGCAGAGCTTCAAGGTCATATTAAAGACCTCAAGGTGCGTAAAGTGCCTGGGAAGATCAAATCACTAACAAGAACTGAAGCTGCTTTCACGGAAGTCCTTGACTCATAGCTATTATCAATGCCGTGCTTAGGACCCAGTACTTTCCATAGGCGTACAAGACTGCGGAAGTTATAATGATTTCAAAGAAGGTGGGTTCGATATTTCCCCAGGACTGTCGTCCCATTAGCCGACTGTCTGCTCCATCTAAGCTCGCTGAAAGGGTGATTTTATGTCACCCTGCGACTTTATCGTCAGGTCACCATGTGATTCATGACGTGCAATTTGGATTTCGGTCTGAGCATAGTACGGAGTGACAGGCGGTTAGGCTTGTGGAGCGAGTAACCAGGGGCATCACAAGTTCGGATCAAAATTAATAATGTCTTCTCCACATTACGTTCCATCAGAGCCGGAGTCCCTCAGGGTTCGGTTCTAGGACCAATCCTTTACTTACTTTTCACGCATAATGTCCATGTCCCTTGCCCTAGCGACTCTGTGAAGTCTATCTATATGCTGATGACATTGCAGTGGTGGCCCAGACGCATTCTGGGAATCTGGCTTACGGCAGGTTACAAAGTGCGGTGGATGAGGTATTGGAATGGGCAGATCGGTGGTTATTCAAAATTAATGACTCGAAAACGCAGGCTAGCCATTGTACTGAAAAACGTAGCGGCGCCTCGCCTGAGGTTCCAGAGAATGAACTTTGCATTAAATGGGTAAATTCTGCTGAGTATCTCTTAAACCATCACTAACGCACCATGGTATGTCTCCAAAACAAGACCTCGACATCCCTTACCTAAGGGACTAGGTCAAATAACGCGGTAACGTTATAGTCAAGCGGAATCGCACAGCAACCCTCTTTTGAGTGAGTCAATAGACCACACAGTCGAGCAAGTTCGCAAGCACACAAGACCGCGGCTCGCACGGTGATCAACATCAAATCGTGCAATTCTAGGACTAACCAAAATTACGACTTTTGCCACGCATACAAATTCCTAAATTAATTTTTGTATCTATTTAAAATAACCGAATACCAGTTAACAATAGCAAGGCACTCCTTTAACTGGCGGACTTCACCCTCTTTGCTGTTGTCCTTTCCTTCCTTCGTCCGATATCCGGGCAACCAGACCTGACAGACCTACTACCTACGCGATACTTTAACAAAAAATGAAGGTCTCACGGACCGCTCTAACGAACAATGACGAATAGAACGATCGCCATAGACAGTGACAGTCATGCGTCCCTCATAGCGTTAGGAAGCCCTGGAGTGACAACACTCCACTGATCTGGGAATGCCAACAAGTAACAATACAATAACTCGCTTTGATTTTATCTCCATCCATCGGTGGAAATCAAAGTTGATGCTAAAAATAATTAAAGTACGAAATTGCATAAAAAGTGAAACCAATAAATGATTCTGATCAAAATGTAAACAAAATATTAAATTAAATGTTCTAACGAATCTGCTTGTTGGGTTTGACCGTAACCCAACCTATCCTAGAAGCCTGCGCAAACATTTTCTAGCAGGGTAGGAGTCACCGAACGGCATACAGGGTTTGTCCGGAAAGTAATAGGACTCAGTTTCTTCCGCCATGACTGCGCACCGACTGGATTCGGTAGAGGGCGTTCCTAGCTAACGAATGAGCGGCTGGTCAGTTGACTCCGAGCACTTGGAGAGTCAGGACAGGCATTTTCGCGCGACGCGTTTCTGTGAGTGGCGCAAGCCGAAAATGCAGCGTTCGTTAGAGCAGAGGTACGCGATTAGACTCTGTAAATCTGCGACAGAGACGTTTGATATGATTAAGCAGCCTTACCCAGGTGTTGCTTTAGCAAGAAGTGGTGTGTTTCGGTGGCACCAGGCCTTTTTGGAGGGCCGTCAAGAGGTCGCTGATGAAGACCTTCGACTTCGACAAACACCGATAATGTGACTCGTGTGCGCAAAGTTTTGAACTCAGACCGTCGACTAAGTATTCGTTTAATTGCCCAGATGTTAAATTTACCAAAATCTGTGGTTCATGACATTGTGACACAGCATTTGAACATACGCAAGGTGTGCGCGAAGATGGTCCCAAAAGTGCTCAATGACGACCAGAAATTGCGGCGAGTGGAAGTGTGCCAAGAAAATTTGAACATATGTGAAAGTGACCCCCAATTTTTGAATAACGTAATCATAGGTGACGAGTCGTGGATCTTTGAGTATGATCCCGAGACAAAGGGGCAATCTTCCGAGTGGCACACGACGGCGTCTCTTCGCCCAAAAAAGGGAAGAATGAGCAAATCCAAAGTGAAAACGATGCTCATTGTCTTTTTTGACATCAAAGGCATCGTCCACCATGAATTTGTTTCTGCCGGACAAACCGTCAACGCCAAGTTTTACGTGGAAGTGCTCAGGAGACGAAGGGTAATTTGGGTCCGACAAGACATCGCAGCCGACTGGAAGTTGCACCACGACAACGCCCCGGCTCACGCCGCCTTTCTTGTGAACAGTATCTGACCAAGGCTGGCATCCCAACGCAGCAGCCGCCCTACAGCCCAGATGTGGCCCCCCGGACTTTTTTCCTCGCCTGAAAAGGCCGATGAAAGGCAAGCATTTTGAGACGACATAGGGGATCCAAGCAGCGTGCACCGCGGCTCTCAAGGCTATTCCGGAGAATGCCTTCCGTGACGCCTTCAATGATTGGAAATCGCGCTGGCAGCGCTGCATCGACGCAGAAGGAGCCCTATAGTGTCAAAAATCTTGGCGTCCTAATTGATAATGACCTCCGTTTTCATGGCCACATCACAAATAAAATTAGGGCATCATTTCCTAAATTAAAACTAATTTATGCTCAAAGAAGGATATTGAGCCATAATTGGAAACGTACTCTGTGCGATTCTTTAGTCCTTTCTACGTTTAATCATTGTGACGTTGTTTATCATTCCTGTATAACTAAAGCTGACAATGATCGAATTCAACTCATGCAAAATTCATGCACGCGTCTGATTTGTGGAACTGCTAGAGGAGAACACATCAGTCACAAAATTAAGGAGGTAAATTGGATGAAAATGTTTCAGCGCCGAATACTTCACTGTTTGGTACTATATCATAAAGTGATGATGAGTCAAGTACCACAGTATTTGTGTAGTAAAGTTCAATTGAGGGTTGAATCACATAATGTCAATGTGAGAAGCAAGAATTTGATAAGTCCTCCATGTCACATCACTTCTCAGTATGAACAATCTTTTTCATACTGTATTTATAAGTTATATAATCAGTTACCTTCGGACCTTAAGTCTATTACGCTGATATTTTTCAAAAAACACGCTAAGGCTTACGTTATGTCAAAGTATTCTTTCTAATTTGATTAAGTTTTTTGATATTAGTTCAACTTGGTATTCTCAAATTGTTGCTAGTTTATATATGTATGTACGTATTTATGTATGCGTTTGAAATGCATGACCATGCTTTTTTACGCTCAGATACTTGCATGTAGGTATACTTTTTTTGTACAAAACCTTTCTTTTCTTGTTCTTTCTATTTTTTCTTTTTCTTTGTTTTTTTTGTCAATTTTTCGGGGTTGAGTGGAAGAACACTATTTTTGTGAACTCCGCCTTTTGGATCATATGTCTATCTGTATAGCATGTTTCCAATAAAGTCGATTATTATTATTATTATTATTATTATTTTGAAAGTTTTGAAAGAATTGTAACGATTGGCTCAATAAATTTTTTTAAATCGACTCAGTCCTATTACTTTCCGGACAAACCCTGTACATCTATTATTTTTAGTCTCAACTCCTCTAAAGCTCTTGCACGGAGGCAACAGTAAAGGCGAGCCCTCATATATCGCCACCGAAAGAAATCATTAGCCGCCAAGTCACGTGATCTCGCTGGCCATTACATTGTAACAAGAATAAATAGTACTACCAGCGACATCTGTTGGGAACCGCGCCAGAAATTCTCCTTTGAGATCGACGCGAAGTGAGCTCGAAGATTCTGGACTGCCGCTATGTGGCTCACCGGAACTTTCGCGAACTAACAAGTAAAGCATCCCACAAACCGGCGCGAAATAATCAGGGCGAAGTATTCGCAACGAAATTCAGAGCGAAATTCGCAATCTTTTTCGCCTTTTTATTCATACCAAAGCGTCTTATTCGCTCCGCGAACGTGAAGGCTTCGACAGGTTGCGTACATTTTATTTTTGCCTTTTGCAATGAGCTCGTCTTCAGAAGAAGGAAGGCACTTCTATTTCTTACTTTGGAAGAGGAACAAAATGCACGGTAAGTTATGTTTATTTTATAGCCATTTGATAGTTGGGTATGTATTAAGTTTAACGAAGTACATAAAACAAATATTTTCAATTTTGTTTAGGAAACGAAGGAAGTGGGTACATGATATTAACTTGGAACGAAATAAATTTGGGGAATACCATACCTTGATGCCACAACTTCGGCTGGATGAACAGCGCTTTTACGTATATTTTAGAATGACTCCAGAGTGTTCCGATGAAATATTGAACTTGGTGAAAGATGAAATACGAAAATCTGACACAAATTATCGTGAAGCTATTTCGCCAGAAGAACGACTTGCTATTACACTCAGGTAAAAAAATTATATGTATTAAAATTAGTAGGCTTATCGAATACGAAAACTTCAGGGATCGTGAAATAAATATTTTATTGTAATAATTGGACTACATGTTGCCACTAGGATTAAATGTTGCTAAATAATTCGAGGCAGAATTTGCCTCCTCTGTTGGGTATATTATTGGAGTAAACCCAGTACCGCTTGGGAAGGACGACATACTACTATCATACATACTTGCAGAATTCTGGGTAGACGCTGAAGACATTTCTTCAATATGTTCAAATTCTTCGTGCGCTATTAATTCGGCTATTTTTAGTTTTATTCGGGCTTGACGCTTTAAGGGAAGTGTTTTCACAGTCTGTGCATGTGCCAAGAAAAGTGAATCAATGGCCTCGTTCTCTTTTTTAGGTTTTTTACCTTCAAAATAATTAATGAGCTGTTGTACAGACGAAGATGGTGGTTCATAGCGTTTTCTGATCGTTTTATATTTTGGTGTAGTTGCAGTCTGCGGAAAGGTGTGCCCTGGAGTAGTCACTGCTGTAGTGTTCAATGAAGAAGGTGGTGCTGTCTGTGTTGCCGAGGCGTTCTGTGCATCTTTTGCATCTACATCAGCATTTTCATCTTCGCCATGGCCGCGGTCTTCCAAATTTTCGGTTTCTACATTTCCAGCCCTTTCCTGATATATATTTGAGTTAAATTCGGCAGTCTCATAATGTATGACGTCAATATCTTTCACATTAGATGACGTTTTGGCAAATGCCAAAAAAGGACGGAAAAATTCCATGTAGTCAGCCCACTGCCATTTTTTTATGTTGCCCACTGCTTGGCCGGTCTTTGGTTTGGTAGATTTTATATATTTTGGAAATGTGTCTCTAATATTCTTCCACCTTTTTTTTACTTCATCACCTAAAAACGATTTTTTTTATAGATTCCTTGCCACTGGTGACACCTTCTATACCATTGGGCATAGCTTTCGAGTTGGCTTTACAACAGTGAGTGCAATCGTAACCGAAGTCTGTGAAGCGATATGCAGACATATTGAGCATATATATTTACCAGAACCAACAGAGAATATATGGAAACAATCTGCTGAAGAATTTGAAAATAGATGGGGATTTAAAACAACAGTCCGACAGTGGTTTCTTCCCAACCGCATATTCAACACCTGGAATAGTTTACCTGAAAGTGTGGTTGGTGCTACTTCAGTTAATAGCTTCAAAGTGCAGTATGATAACTGGATGAGTGTACAAACTTTATAGCTATGAACTGTCTTTTTTTATTTTTTCTATTTGATGTATTTGTGTTACGTGTCCGTACACTATATTTACTGCATGAGCTTATAGTACTGTGTACTCTGCTCATCTCAATTATCATAATAATAATAATAATAATTTCCCAATTGCATTGGCAGCGTGGACGGTAAACATGTAACAATCAAGAGACCTAACAACAGTGGCTCCAATTACTGGTGCTATTTACATAAATATTCAATAGTACTTATGGCCATTGTTGGCCCGGACTATAAATTTATATGTGTTGATATTGGTGGTTCCGGAAAAAATAGTGATGGGGGTATTTTCGAAACCTCAAACATGGGAAAACGATTTGAACAAAATTTAATGAGTGTCCCTGCACCTAGATTTCTCCCTGGACAAAATGAAATCTGCTCGTACGTCTTAATTGGTGATGAAGCATTTGCTTTAAAACCATACCTTATGAGACCATTTCCTTATAAGCAGACTTTAACAGACGTCAGAAAAGAGAAATACAATGTAAGACTTTGTCGAGCCAGAAGGGTCGTGGAAAATGCGTTTGGTATTTTGTCTCAAAAATGGCGAATATTTTACAGGCCATTAGAAACTAAAGTAGATACTACTGTTCTAATTGTACGTACGGCATGTGTTTTACACAATTTTTTACGAAGTAAAAGTGGCGATGACAAATATTTTCAATTCTTAGATCCCCCAGAACCCGTGCTTGGAGCTTTTACTGATATAGCAAATGATCCTCGGCGGGCAGCAAGGCTAGCATTTTCTACTCGTGACAAATTCGTAAATTATTTTAATTCTGATATGCCTATGCCCAATATATAGAATGTTCGTTTTCACATTTGTGTAGAGTGTAAATTATTTAACAAGTTAATAAAAAATATTAGGTACATACCATTTGTATTTAATTCTTTTCCTATTTCCATCCAAATCTTGTCTTTCTTTCTCACATTCCTGTATTCATCGTTCGACAAATCATACAAACAAGGATACTTTTTCATTATTTCTATCAATAATTCCGTTTTTGCCATTGCGAATTTTTGAAGAACGGCGTCAAAAACGCGGTCAAAGGCGAACTGAAATACGCCGCGATAAAAACGCTGGAACAATCGCATTCGCTTCGCACAAGTCTGAGCCTGTCCGTAAACCGCCGCGTTTTAATCTGATCGCGAATTCATCGCCGCGAAATTTTCGCAGCCAAAGCGAATATTTCGCGCCGGTTTGTGGGATGCTTAAATGTGATGGGGAATATATAGGGCGACGGCCGGGAGAGGGAAGCAGATTAGGGTTGAGTGAATGGCGCGACATAATTATTCGTAAATGAGTAGTCAGACATAAACAGTGGTGTACATAAATGTTCTAGTTAGTTAAGTTGAAGTTAGTTGTATTGTGTTTTAAATAAGTTAGTGCATTTATCCTTGTGGAATCGAGTGTTTTTAATCCACACCCTAAAGAACCCAAAAAAAGCTACAATATGTTGTGATGTGTAGAGATCTGACAAAAAATGTTTCAAAAAATTTACAAACTTCACCCACTTCTCTCTCGTACACATTGAACTCAAACCGTCAGTCAAATTTTAATCTCACTGTATATATTCTAAAAACAGAAGAGCGTATGTATAGTCAACAAGCCTGGCTGTCGTGTTTTTGGAAAATGAGTAATTTGAATTCACATTGACTTACCATGAATGCTTGTATCATAACCCCAGTAATACTCTGTACACACATGATGAATATAGCTTCCGGGCATTCTTCTGTCGTCACCCTTCCGCCATAACCGATCGTGTGTTGAGTCTCTATACTGAACAGGAAACAGGACGTGAAACCATGGATGTTGCTTATACAGGGCTCCACAGGCTCTGTCCCGTTCTGAAAAATAATTATCGTTCAAAATGAGATGTTAACAATCTGTTAACGAACGCAATGCATAAATCCAGTAAAGCAGATTCGTTCAACGTATACGTTTCAGTAACGTGTCATGAACTCATATGATGGAGTCAAGTTTCATGAGACTTATTCGTAAGTTTGGAATATAATAATAATAATAATAATAAATCGTCTTTATTTATAAAGTTACATAATATCGGGCAAAGTTTAGCTAAATAGCTACTCTTCCACTTAACCCTATTATTTTCTGTAAATACATGTAATTAACATGTATATACAGGGTGTCCGCAAAGTTGGGGTTTTCCTTTACACGACGTGTAGATATTGAAAACATAAGTAATTTTTCTTAGTACCATATACACCAATGTCTTAAGGGAACCGAGATAAAGGGCTCTGCAACATCAAAAATATCTGAATACCGTCCTGTAGCCGCAACTCGCGATATCCCCGACTGGTACTAGGACACTAGCTCAACCCGACGACAGAACTGGGTCGGGGGTCGGGGTCAGTGTGTCAGGTCAGTATGCAACCTTCAACCGACGGTTACGGTCACGCGTGTAGAGGTAAACGAACGCGTATAATCGATTGCGTTTCAAAAAACAACAAGCACTAGAGACGTGGCTAGAGAAGTGCAAGTATCAAAAACTAAAGTGTGGCAAACGTTGCGTGAAGAGGGGCTGTATCCGTTTCACGTCCAACGTGTACAAGCCCTTCAACCTGACGATTTTCCAGCAAGAGTGCAGTTTTGTGAGTGGTTGTTGCATCAACATGATAATAATTCGGACTTTTTGAAGTGCATATTGGTGACAGACGAATCTACGTTCATGCGTAATGGGGTGAATACCTTTCGCAACACTCATGTTTGGTCAGTAGAAAATCCGCACGCTGTCCGTCGGGCACATTTTCAACAAACATTTTCGGTGAATGTTTGGGCTGGCATGGTGTACGGTATGCTCATTGGACCATTTATTCTCCCAAATCGATTGGACGGGATGCAATACCTATACTTTTTTCGCAACATTTTGCCTTGCTTGTTAGAAGATGTGCCATTAAGTGTAAGACAATCAATGTGGTTTCTGCACGATGGTCATATTTGTTACCTCTGTTCGTGGTCTACTGGTCTGCACCACCGCCGGCGTCTGCTCGGTAGCGCATCAGCTGATTTCATTTTCTGTTGGAGCGGTATGATTTCGGGCAGAGACGTACTTAGCCCTTCTCGTCAACTGGAGAGTGAGTACTTTTTTCTTTATTTTTTTTTACTTGGTCGCCCTCGTTTCACTACACATTATCTTTGTTATTTCAAGGGTAGTTGTTTCTGGAAAGGAAAACCCCAACTTTGCGGACACCCTGTATACAGTGGCTAACCAAAGGAAAACAAAAATATTGCAAGACATAATATAGAAAATATAAACAGATTCAGCAACACGTCAAATAAAATTTTTCTGGCGGTTACTAATCTAAACTACAAACTACTACTTAATTACTACTACGAGTCATTTTTGATAGCAAATGCTGCTTGACACAAACTTTAAATTTAGTTTGAGATGAATTTTTGAATGCATCAGGTAGCACGTTATACAGTTTGACACAATTGTACCTAAAAGAGCGAGTAAATAAAGGCGTACGGTGCCGTGGAATATCTAATAATACCGGACAACAAATTTTAGTTTTTTAATTGTATCTTGTGGGAAAAGTGTACTTCTTTGTTAATTTTGGGGCGCTGAATCCAAAAATGACAATGAAATAAAAAAATTAGTTGCGGTTTAGAAAAAAAACTTTTTATTTTTAAGGATATATTAAAAAAAGTAACAAGATTCATATACTCATAAGAATCACTATATGCGCTGTCTTTTTGCTGTTCTTTTATGGATCGTTTCTGGAACATCTCTACCAAGAGTCCAACAGTAGTCTGCAAGCATGGAAGGATTCCACTTTCCCTGGTACCTTTTTTCCATTGTTGAAATATCCTGATGAAAACGTTCGCCCTGCTCATCACTTACGGCTCCGCAATTGTCAGGAAAAAAGTCCAGGTGTGAGTGTAGGAAATGTATCTTAAGATACATATTACAGCCCATCTTTTGATACGATGACAGCATATTTTTGACAAGGGTTTTATAGTTGTCAGCTTTTATATTTCCCAAGAAATTAGTGACCACCAGACGGAAATCATTCCAAGCAGTTTTTTCAATACCTATTAAAGTGTTTTCAAACTGTGTATCTTTCAAAATATTTCGAATCTGTGACCCAACAAAAGTACCTTCTTTAACCATTGCCTCACTTAGTCTTGGAAATTTCTGACGCAGGTATTGAGAAGCTGACCCATCTCTATCTAATGCCTTGACAAAGTTTTTCATTAGGCCCAACTTGATATGCAGTGGTGGTAGGTAATAAAATTTTTTTCGAATCTACTAATGGCATATGCTGTACATTTTTTTGACCTGGCTCTAGGAATTGACGAACAGGCCAGTTTTGTCTGGTGTAATGAAGTGCCTATGCCTGACTGTCCCATTCACGCAAAAAACAGCAAAACTTTGTGTAGCCTAGCTGCAGCTCAAGTAAAAGTGCAACAACTTTCAAATCGCCACAAATATGCCATTGGTCCTCATCGTATTTTATGCATGTCAATAGGTACTTCATATTGTCATATGATCCTTTCATGTGAACTGCATACCCTACAGGAAGAGATGGTAAAATATTTCCAATATGCAATAACACTGCCTTTAAACTCAATGTTGAACTGAATATAAACAATCTCCATTCTTCTGGGTTATAGTTTATATTTAAAGCCGCCAGTAAGCCGTTAATGTTACTGCAGAAAACCAAGTTATTCTCCATATTGAAAATTGTTCTAAGTCTTTGTGGCGTTTACGAAAAACACATACCGAAACATCGTCTTCTAACAAGTTCCACTGCTGCAGTCTTGATCCAAGTAACTCTGCCTTACATTTTGGAAGTTCTAAATCTCTTACAAGATCATTTAATTCTGACTGTGTTATTTTGTGCGGTTGGTGGCATGACGTGCTCGGTATAAAATCAGGATCTCTTGACGTTGATGGCATATCTTCTTCCTGACGAATCACTCGATCGCCATGATCTGATTCATTTTCTGATTCGCAAGTGGGGGTTTTGGAATAGGATTTTCGTCACTGTGAGGCACAGGTCTCATCGCAGATGGTATGTTTGGGTAGTTAATAACCGATTTTTTTTCTTGGACATACCTGTGGCTTGCCAACACAAGGTTCCATGCAAAAGTAACAATCATTAATATGATTTGTAGGCTCTCTCCAAACCATTGGGACAGCAAAGCGCATAGACCGTTTTTTGCCATTTAACCAGCTCCTCAGACTTGAAGCACATGTATTACAGCAGATGTGGGGTGCCCACTGTTTGTCTTCATTACCTAGCTTACAACCGAAATAAAGCTGATATGTCTTTGTTATTAGTGGAGTAATAGACCGTCTCTGAGACGCAAAAGTCACATCACCACACACGTAACAAAACTAATCTGGATTGTTTACACACTTTCGAGACATCTTGCATGAACGCTGTCAGCCAACTGAGGAAAAAATGGCTAATATAAAACAATATAATGTACACGTATGTATAACGTAACACAATCATGCCGATTACATCATCTTTCCTTGCCGAATATAAAAATGTAGCACGTGCATTCTTGTGGATTACAGTATATTAACACTGTCACAGCAGGAACACATATAATTTCCGTATCTCTAAAACTTGAACTAATATTGAAAAAATAAGTTTCATTCCGGTTTTAGCACATTAAAAATAGTAATATTTTGTTGATTTTATTTAGGATATTTTTTGGCTGTTGATCAGTGTAATTTGCCATACCTGAGCATGCGATCTGTAACAGATTGCCTGAAAACAATTTTTTTGAAGAGGTATTCGGGAGTTCCCGTGATAATTAAATTATGAATGAACTTCAAGATAAAATACTCGTAAGAGCTATTAACATCTAACCATTTTAAACTACGAATACAGTGTGAAAGATGGTCATATTTTCTTAAACCGTAGATGAGGCGACAGCACGAATTTTGAATCAGTTGAAGTCTGCGAATTGAGACTTGATCTAAGTAAGAATAGAAAACTATAAGGCAGTAGTTGATTTTTGAGAGAACTAGGCTTTCACAAAGAATTTGAAATTGATGAAATGCCTATTAACAAACAATGTTTTTAGTACAACAAAGCAGTTTCTTACTAATTTAGATATATGCTCACGAAAACGTAAATCCTTGTCAAGTAAGACACCCAAATTTTTTGCAAGATCCTCATAAACTAAAGAAGTGTCATTAATGCGTACTGTCGTGTTATTTCTGATATTAATGATTTTGTTTTTTGGTGCAAAGAGAACAGCTTTAGATTTAGAGGCATTTATCGTTAAGGAGCTATGCTTGGAAAAACTAACAATAGTGGCTAAGTCACAATTCAACTCGTCAACAGCTGCTACACAGTCATCTGGATCAAAAGTTTTACATATCATCACTTCAGAGGAGCGTATCAGTTTACACATGTCTGATATGTAAATGGAGAACAATAGCGGTCCTAAAAGAGAGCCTTGAGGGACCCTGATATCACATCCTTATATATCGAATATGCATACGATTCATGAGATAACTAGTAATGAACTTGATAGATGCTTGAGAAAATCCAGTATATTTGCATTTTGAGATCAAAAGTGAATGATTGATAGTGTCGAAAGCCTTGGAGAAGTCAAGCAGTACAAGAGCCGCTGCTTGACCCCGATCCAAAGCCTCAACAATATCATCAGTCACCTTAAGCAGGGCAGTGGTGGTGGTATTCCCTACTTTGAAGTCAGACTGGTTTTTTGGAATTATGTTATTCTCAGAGCAGTACTCTTTCAATTGATCATGTACTATCCTTTCCAATATTTTTGATAGAATCGGAAGTAAACTTATTAGGTGCAGGTCAGAATAAGCTGAAGGGTTATTAGTTTTTGCCAA